CCTATAGAAGTGGACAATAATGAAGAGTTTGAAGTAGAAGAAGTCTTAGATTCAAGGCGACGTCGAAATAAATTAGAACATCTTGTTTATTGGCACGGATATGGTATTAGTGAACGCACACGGGAGCCAATAAAGAATCTTACAAATACAGCAAAGGTGGTGGAGGCTTTTCATCGACGACATCCATCAAAATCAAGATGAAAATCTTCTTTATAAAAGAAACAACATCTAGACAAGATAACATTCTACTTTCAATTCTTGTTCATAGCTTCTTTGTAGTAGTGACGCTCAGGAGATGGAGAACCAACAACCAGCAGATTCGACTCAAGAGCCTTCATTTGCTAACCTACCAGATGAGATATTACGATTGTCACAACCTTCAAGACAATGCAATCGAGATGAAGATCTTCAAGAACGACATATTCTTCTTTGAATAGATGGCGAGATACAATGCATTTGGTATCACAATTTGGGAAGGGACTCCCGATATTTGGTGATTGTGCTAGAGGTAGGAACAACTCCTGATGGTATTCCAAATATTCTATTTGAAGGAAGTTACGAAGGCCTCAACAATGATCAAATAACTGGGTGGTCTTTTCGCCCTATTATAGGACTTTACCGATGGTTGAGAGGCCCTATCAATCATCTTCAAAGAGAACAAAGATCAGAGTATGTGGCGAATACAATTCATCGCATCATAGATTTCCTCGACATATGATGACTGCTCCTCGTGAAACTCATTCCTAGAAGGGGGGGGGGGTAATGTCACGGACATAATCATGTAAGCTAGTAATTACATATACAAATATGTAGAAGTAAGTAAAAGTAGGTAAAAGTAAGTAAATTCTATAGTATTTAATATGGAAGCTTCCTAGAAGCTTCATAGACGTTGCTTTGACTTCATAGGTGTCTTTAATTGACTTTTTGGATTAGAAACGTGGTCAACAAGTTGGCCATGTGCCACACATGTTGTTAGCTTGAAGATCAAGCTAACTATGTGGCCCACACGTAGAAGAACTTGCCTTGTAAGTCAAGGCATGTGTCCTACAAAGTCAACACATATAAGAGGTCCTATAGAACGTTGCCACATAGCCTCTAGTTAGATAGTATATATAGAGACAAGAGTGAAGGCTTCTTCACTCTTGTCAACTCTTTTCTTGCTTTTAGTCTAGTTTCAAAGATCTCTAGTTTTCTTATCTTTTGGCAATAGCCATTCCAGTTTCTCTTTCAATATATATATTTGTTTATATATATTTTGTTATCTCTCTTTGAGTGAAGGCTCACTTGTGTGAATTATTTTTTCATCGAATTCTTGTCCTTGATACCCTGATCTATTATTTCACTAATAGAAAGCAAATTTTTGGCCAATCCTTCAACATACAAGATATCATATACATCTTTGTAAATGTTAATTAAAAATTAGAAAGAGATCTTATCCTTCTTTTTGATGGAAAATCTAGTATCATCACCTAAATAGACTTTAGGGCCTTGTCATAGATTTTCATAACTTAAAAACCAACTTTGATTTCTTGTTATGTAATAAGAAGTACCAAAATTGATATACCATTCTTTGTCACTCATAGTGACAGATAATGCAGCTACAAAGACAGATTCATCATCCTTTTGATCTTTCTTGTCTATTATATTAGCTTGCTCTTTTTGAAAAGTCTTCTTTAACTTTCTTGACTTCTTGTCCTTCTTCTTGGTCCGACACTCTTTCTTATAGTGACCTTTTTTGCCACAATATTTGTATTTGACATCCTTCATGTAATCATATGAAGATCCTATATGAATACGAATATGAAAACATGACTTAGATTTTCTTTCTAGAATCAATGCCACTTCAAAGGTTGATCCTACATTCTTGTTGTGAGACTCTTGGTATAATAGTTGAATTGTGACCATTTATAATATTAATTTTACTAAAGATCTTGTTTCTAATGTCATGACCAATATTTGGTATGATTCTAAGAGATTCTTCAATAATGCCATTGCAAATTATGTATCAAAAATCTTCTCACTAATAGAAGAAAGTTGCTTAGCAATCTCCCATAGGTTGCTTATATGTATGACAAAGTTGTCACCTTCATTTATTTATATGGTTCAAAACTTGCAAATCAAGTATAATAAGCTCGAAGTATTTTTAACCTTGTATATTGCTTCCAGACCTTGCCAATCTACCTATACGCTTTCTACTTTACTTATGGTCAAAAATTTTGTACTTGTAAGATATAGGCAAATTGTAAATGATGCTCTCTAGTCTATATCTTTCCATTTCTCTAACTCTTATGGATCTACGAGTAATCCAATAGGTTTCTTGTATTTTTCAAAGACAACCTTTCATATATCCTTATCAATGAGGAAAAACTAGATTTTTTCCTTCCACAAGTACCAATTGTCTCCATCAGATTTTTCTATGATGTGGTATTCCATTGCCATCTTATAAAAAATATATTCTAAATAGAAGAAATTGAAAAAAATGGAAAAATAAATAGAAGGTGAATAGAAATGACATTTAGGTAAGATTTTACACCTACTTATAAATTTTTTGAATATTAATAAAAAAAATCTTAAAGAATTTTCTAAAATTTCTAAAATATTTTTAAAATGTGTAAAATTGTATCACAACATTTTAAAAAAAATTCAACTTAAAATTCCAAAAATTGTAATATCTAAAGCTTTTTGCATGAAATTATGTCCAAAAACTTGAAAAAAAAAATTAAATTTGGAGCTCCTTGTTCTTGCTAGAGTTCTTTGGATTGTGTTGGTCCTACTCCTATAGTCAGGTCCTGCTATTGTTGTTGGGTTGTGCTTTTGTTGTCAAGTCTTGCCACTACTAGTAGATCCTATTGTTGGTTTGATCAAATAAACAATTGCAAGTTGTAGCACCTATTGCTTGTAGCACTGAAATTTAAAAATATTTTTTCTCTTTCAAAATTAATGCTTCATTGCTTCAATTATGAGCTACCAAAAACATTAGTGGATAAAGTTCTAAGCTCACTAGAAATTCAATTCCTCTCAATCTAATGTAAAAAATAAAACCTCGTCAAAGTTGATCAAAAGATCAATTCCTATAAAACAACCTGAATTGATTCACTTAAACTTGTCAAAGGATAAATCTAAAGTACCAAGGCTCTGATACCATGTAAGAAAATAAAGAAGAAGTGTATTGCTAAGATAGAAGTTTTATGAAACAAATACAAAAGAATTCTCTACTTTACTATTAAGGATTTAAGAGAACAAACGCTTAAAATGAACCTCTACTTCTACTCCTTATAAAATACAAGTCCATAGTCTAATTACATGGACTTTCTAGTGTGAACACACAAACAACTACTCTATTCAACAATATCCAATTAACATTTAGACATTTATCTTGTTAGGTTATATGATAGCTTAGTAGGTCATGGCGGCTAAATGGTATTACCACCAACAAATGGCAGCTACAACTTGTCAATTAGCAAAACAATGTCAATTGTCTATTCTACTTTATGTCTAATCGGAGTTATATATTCTATTAATACTATGTTTTTTTTCCAACATACATTTTAGATTCAAATTTAAAATTTATTTATTTATGGAATAGAATCTACAAGAAGATAAATTTTCACTCTTCTTTTTAAGATTTGGTGAATTTTTATGTTTAACATATAAGCCTTTAATTATTAAAGATGTTACCATATAATAGAAATACTAATATAACCTAATTCTTTTATATATATATATATATATATATATATATATATAATAAATAAAAAATAATCAATAAACTTTGATATTATACCATTAGTTAAGTAGCTAATCAAAAATAAAATATAAATAAAATTTAAAAGATTCTATTTTCTTAAAAGATGTATTGATAATGTTTAAAAAGAATATTAATATAATTAGATATTTTTTTAATATTCTTGATGTAGATCTATATATATATATATATATATATATATATAGAAAAATAAAAATAATAACCTATATAGTCTTATTTAAAATATTAGATTAATGCTTTTTGAAAGAGATTTAAAGATGATTATTTCTATATATATATATATATATATATATATAAAATATTTATCTCTATTTAAGATATATAATATAGAAATAGAATTGAAATATAAAAATTAAAGTTTGTAAAAAAAAATAATTTTATATATTGGTCTCTCTTGATATTCTATATAATTATTACCTATTTTATACCATGAAACTCTTTGCAATGCCACACTATACATATACAACTCAGTAGTATTCTTCGCACTATGCATCTTTTCTATTATTCTTTTATAAATATTGCAAATTTTTATTATATCTTCCTTCTTAAATGATATCTATGTTGGAGACTTGGGAGTTTTTTCTTAGCATATCTTTGCTACAATATAAATATATGTAGTTAAAAAAGCTTCTATATGTTTTTTCTACAACTACTCAAATATAATTCTTGATTTAAGTATCTACACCATTTATGTCCAAACCTTATCAATGAACCTATTACCTAAATGAATTATTACTAAAATAAATTAGACAATTTTGAGATTTCACAATTCGACAAGAGAAAGAATTTCACTTTATACAATCAATTAAGAAGTGCAAATCCTTGCTCAAATAAATTAATCTTTTTATTTTAAAAAAGCAATATTTAATTGCTCAAATAAATTTTGATCCTATCTGAATCGATTGTATACATATGAAAATAATACTGCTACTCTTGTGACTCAGTCCCCAACCATGTTTGACTCTTGCATGCATTCTTGACAATCAACAAGCCAAGCCATTACATTGATGGTTTGTGATGGCTTGTGTTTGATGGTTTGTGATGGTTTGGAAATGAGAAAGAATGACTGAGTTTCATTGTGAGAATTCCACTCAAGGACAAAGGAAAGAGGAGGGGTCTTGGAATCACTTATGCAATCATGCACAGCAAGGAGGGCCCTTCGCACGGGCTCTGCCCTGGCCCTCCTTCTTCGCCAGTTTTAGGAAGACGCTCACAAGGCAGAGTTTTTGGCATCTCGGTTACGACAGAGGAGCTTAGATTAAAGGACGCTGCAAATTGCATTTAAGTTACAACTTGTAGCGAAGTAGTTCACGCATGGAGTGCACTACAGAAAGTGAATGTAAATTGCGTAATCTACCATATAACTGTGCAAAAATTCCAAAAAGAAGAAACTGATAGGGTGAAAACTCCTGTTCATGTCAAAGTCTCGGATCCATGCCGAGGCATTGATGATGCCACAAGCATCACCACTGCTGTAAGGAACATCAAGAGCATACCAATCAGGAGGATGTATGTCTTGCGGGACGAGCCATGATACTCTTTAAACAGAAACACACCCCACAAAGTTCCCACCAGGGGTAGAGCCTGCCATCCAACCCAACAGTCCGTTAAACTAGGCATTCCTTTCTCTATCAAGCATTTCTATGCAGACTGTAGAAATCCTGTGAAAGCAACATTTAGTCAAGAACACCACATAGTATAAGAAATTGAGAAACCAGCATACTGCCATGCTCGAATTGCAGAAGGGATACAGCATACCCTAAAATAGGTAAAAAACTAAAACCAACCTGCACAGCGTCTGCAGCAGCATAACCAGCAGCTTGACCTCCCATGAATTGGAAGCCATTCCCAACGCCACATAGCAGGCCTGCAACGATGGCAATGTGGCGGCCTTCGCGATCTTGGCAATACATGGTAAGAGAAGATTTGGGAATTCCTAAGACCGGATGGTAAAGCAAGTACACGTTCAAAACAACTGAGCAGATCAGGAAGGCAGTTGAAAAGTAAAAGAAACTGGTATAGACCACCAGATGAGGTATACCGGGCTTCAAGAGGTGGAACTGATCATTAGTAGCGACGTTGAATAACGGCGAGAATGCTGCATAACACAACCCTGTGATGAGAGCGATTCCCAGCCCAAACACGACACTCTTGCCATTCACCTTGATTGCTCTATGCGATTCCAAATTTAGCAAATATTCAGCATTGGCGACCACGCCCTTAGAAAGTGGCTCTGGCTTCCTGCTTTTACAATCACTATTATGGCTTGACGATAAAACATTCAACGAACTTGCCACTCTTTTTACGTCACCATGATACTCGGTATCTGTAATAGAGCCGATCATACTACACATCAGTGGCTTCCCTTTAGCACCAGTCCATTTCTCCAACATGAGAGAAGAGCACCAAATACCAACAAGTCTGTTATAAGCTAAGTACCACAAATCCTAACACAAGTCATGATTATGCATATCACATATACGAGTACATATGTAGGTAAAAGATCGTCTACTCACAAGCTTCATGATTGTTTGAGGAGTTTACTAACAGAGCTGTAAATTCTTCCGAGCCCTTCATTGGGCTCTTCATGTCTTCCAACCTAAGACGGTAGTTCGCAGCATGCATGCAAGAGTGAGAAGTTTGATATGTTTGGAAGCCCATGCTAAAAACTGTTCCAAATGAAAAGTTACTGACACAGATTGAACGACCATGTGCCACCTATTTGAGCATACAGATACACACCACACACTAGCGAATTCTTTTTCACGTTAAAACTTAAAAAGCAATGATATGGATGCACCCAAGATGTCATGGACACAAACAGATGTGCTCAAAGGAACGCGAACAAACTTTTCATTATTTCGATTCTTCGGAAGAGACGCCTCACTATCGTACACATGATATGATGAAAGAAACTGAAGAAGAGAAATATGAGGTTACTGAAACGTTTTTAGAAGACTCACATTTGTGAAAGTGGTTCCGCAGCTTTAATCTTGGTTTGCATATCGGCCACATTAGAGGCATGGCAGAATGATCCTAACACAACTGCCACCAAAAAGCATGCCACACCAGGGAATAATATGCTCGCACGATTTAAACCATCGTCCAGAAAGTAATTTGCTGTCGTTCCTGGCAGGAATCCGACAATCGAACCCATTAAACCATTTGCACCAACTTCAAAGTTGCGGCCAACAAAGGTTTGTCCTCCATGCTGATTATTAACAGACGACCACTAATGCCATCCATGTCCAGAAAGTTCACCATGGAGGACAATTTCAACTCAGCAAAACTACGAGCATTCCACAGTCACTAGTTGCAACAAATATGACTAAGAAAGGCAGCATGCATCCATCCTGTCCAACATTAAACCAGTGAATATGAGCAGATCAAACTCGTACCGAGAACCACAGCAACACTTGCTGACACAACCTCGGTCAAAGAGATTCCCACGAATGCTAGCGAATACTGAAGGCAAATGTTACCCAAACACAAGGCCAACCCACCAGCCAAACCAAACGCTACTGAAGGACCATTCTCTTGAGACAGTTGTTTGAGGAAGTTGGGTGACTGGGGCGTGTCGGGGCCGATGTTCCCTACTGTGAGGGCGAAAAGTAATGCAACTGAGTAATTGGAAAAAGTGTAGTCCAAGTAAGTATGCATGGGAACTCGGCCTCTCCTTTCCAGCAAGTTAAACAGCGCCGGCCACGATCCTAGACACCATAAGGAGACGATCATCAGAGTGATCGCTCCTGCTTCGTCCTGCATAGCATACATGATATCACTAATTGTACTAAACCCTACAGCTAAATTCTGAATCAGTGCTTATGATTGACTGAGGTAGCTAGGATACGCAGAGAAGAAATTTCATTTAGGTTCAGCGGCGACAGAGTCTTCGAATATAAATCCTGTGTAGCATCCCAAACCCTAGAAGTCCAATACAAAATGTTCTGAGTCTTCAATGCAGTCCAGAAATGCCAAGCTTTGGCGATGATCTAAGAAGCATGGCTTGCCAGTGGACCCTCGCAACGCTGCCCAGATCGCAAATTGCCCGCTAAGAAATTGATCATGCAGAGCAATCCATCCCTAGGTCCCAACCTTTGCCTAGAATATGACCCATAGTTGAAATTGGTATTAATGCGCATGCTCTGGTGAGACAGACTGGACCTAGAGAAAGCAACCCCCGAAGAATGTCAGCGGATCCGATAACACGAAGCTATTTCTTTTCACCAGAAATGGTGCAACACACTCCCAGCTCTAAATCCCATCGCAAGAAAGCAAATCTGTTCTGATTCTGTACTCACAAGATACTAGGATTCATTCTAATCCGTCTCAGGTTGTGGATTGCGAGTTAAGTCAAGTAAAATCCAAGTAACACCTGACGAATGCCCCTCGCAAACACAACGATCCTGTCCGTTTTTGCTATTACGGGATCCACAATAGCAGCAGTCCTCGCACATCAACACAATCAGTATGCCCCATACGTCTCTACGCCTAACAGAAGCGTGAATGGCAAGCGTTGACTCACAAAGGATTACATGCACATTACACTATATCGCGCCTACAAAACTGTCGGTAGGTCGGAGTTATGGCACGGGCACACTGAGAATATGGTCCACTGCTACGAGCAATAATGTCAAATGATGACATGTATGCCATGCATCTGGCTGTGGTGTTGAAGCCTCCGTTCTCCAACAATACTTGTTCCTTGTTGTCAACTTCTCATAGCCATCGTCATTTTCGTCGTGAGGTGCTTAAATCTTTTGGCTACGCTGACTGTGGCCACGGCAAGTCCCGCGCATCGCAATATGTCGGCAGAACTATATTGGATGATGGAGACTGCCTACGCTGGCGTTGGGAAGCACTCGACAGGGCGGAAGACGAAGTAGTGCATCGATTGCAGAGCAGACAATACCAACAGCTCTCGGAACATCCATCAAGTTGCGAATATGTGTGAAGGGGCAGGTGCAACGCGAAGCGAAGGTTTTAGATAGGACTGGGGCATGAAGGGGCAGTTGAATTATAAATAGTGTGTTGTAGCGATGACTAAGGGCATTGTGGCTTCTGACATCTCGACGGCTGCAATTGAAGATGCTGTTGCCGCGACAGAAAAGTCATTAGCAGTTGTGAGTAATTGTCCTCCTACTGAACTGAGACGTGCTTCTCTGTTGTGATGCAGTGGAAACTTAGAATGCCAACACTTGGGAGGATTTCCTTAGGGTACTAGATTCAGGCTGTGAGCACTTAGTGGACAATACCTTCACTAGAGATGAAATCATGCATCATGCAGGAACTTTAGTATATGTGCACCTCCATGACGAAGAGGAAATGGAGAGGCTTTTCCATCGCCTGAACGCTCCACGGCAGTAGTCCACCTGTTTGCTCTCGCAGTTTCATGCATCCCACACTGAAGAAGGTTAAGTGCTCATTTGAATTTTGTGGTTAAGAGAGATGTTGAAGCAGAGCAAGGCTAAAGTCGGCCTCTTTCGATGATGCCTTTTTTATGCTCCAAACCAGTATTGTATTTCTCTTATCAAGTGTGGCTCATCTCATCGTCAGGAAATGTTGATTAATAAGAACATTATGATACTCTATGAAAACGTAGTCCACACCATTTATTTGCTTAGCTCAAGGACCTCAGAAAAACCTCCCAAATTCCAGTAATCATAGGAAACCGGGACTGAAGTGTAGGCTTAACCTTCAAGAGTAAACTGATGAACCAATTGATTCTAAGCCTAATTTTATCGTAGTTCTAATGCACATGCAACATATCCTGATGAATGATTTTTTTTGGGCTTTGACCTGCAGCGACTCGTGAACTTGTTGATTTCAGATTGCTTTGGCTATTGCAATTTGATTAACCAGCTACTTTGCGGAAAAGGCGTGATTTTATGATTGTATTGCAGTCGATTTGCAATAATCACTAGATGACAAGTTTGTTGAGGTGAATGTCACGGCTGCTCCAGTAAGCTCTTGTGACCATGGCATGTCCAAAGTGTTCGGACATTTTTGCGATTTGAGTACCAAACATGGTCCGATGTAATGAGACTGCATTTATTGGAACATCCCTTAACTGTTTGTAGCAAATCATTCGGAAGCCTGCAGATAAGGGAGGTGTACTAGACGCTTCTGTGTCGATCATTTCAGGTTCTCCAGCTACGACGCTGGAAACACTGATGCTGGCAAAAAAGAATCCTACTCTGGTACTGTGGGGCCAGCATATCCCTTCGCTCCCACGAATGAACCTTTAACGAAATAATACCAAACTCTGCTGGAGATCAATCCAAGGTCCAGTCAAATCCTTATAGAGTGCAATTAATTGCAGTAACATTTTTGAATGGTTAAGAAAAACGTAATTTTGGAGGCTTCAACTCAACTCTTGGTGCAAAAGACTTTGTACCATCCCCTGCATCTTTATCAATAACATGAGAAGTAGCTTTTACCCACAACTTGGGTGTACGGCTTGTCTATCTACGCTTGTTCAGGTTTTAAAAATGCCTGCAGGACTGGCACACACAAATCTAAGTCTTGAACTGGCCAAACAGAATGAAAGGATTATTTCATGTGCTTCATTCCGTGTTGGGGTTAAGAACAACAGACCAACCGAGAGCTTTATTTCCACTCGTAAGTTTTGGGTTAGAGACAGCGATAGTTCTCTCACATGATCGGGAAGAGAGCGAGAAGAAAGAGACATGGTGACAAATCTGAGATCTGCAGAGAAGGAAGGAGGCTGCGTGCGCAACACACTGACCGTGGGGGAGGGTAAATGTGAGGTGGCAGAGGGCAAGGGTGGGTCGGGAGAGAAGAAGGGATTTATTACAGGAGGGCATGGGATTTATTACAGGAGGGCATGGGATTTATTACAGGAGGGCATGGGATTCGTTACTGCCCGACGTGAATGAAGCAGATGCATTTGTTCGAGGGGGAAAAGCAACTCCAAGTCGTATCTGCATCGGCAGGTGGGAAGTGCGGAGAGGTGAGATCGCGCCGACCACTCTCCACGCATTCCCGTTCCTCACACAGCACCAACGATATGGTGAGATGGCGCCAGCTGGCAGGGAACCTATCAGCCCAAGTGGCAGAGGATCATCCACTCCTCACAAAATTCTTGCTCTGCTTTGACAAGTTCGACAATGTTGATGTTTTCTACAATCACTGTACCTGTTTCTGCCGCTCGCAGGCAGCAGCTCTCGTCTTCGATCCCTTTGGGTTCTTCACCCAGGCCCTTGCTCTGACATTGTCGGTGTCCCTGACCCTGTGCTGCAGTTGACCTCTGTTTCCTTAACTTGGTAAGCCCACTCGAGCTTTGTGCATTATGCTGACATTTTCGCCCTCCGTTCGTTGTCAATGTGCACAGGTCTGAACATTTTCTCTCTCGCCCTTGTTCTCTCTCTGAAATCAAGATTTTCATATGTAGTCGCGCACAAAGATTATGATTAGGGGACTCGAATCCCGTTCAATGTGAGCTTTCTTCTGTTTCAGCACATCCTTCCGACAGCACCTAGGTTATGCAGGGCAGGATACATTGCATCTGTTTCAGAAATGTCTCCTTCGAGATTTCTCACGCTGTTTTAATCGTCAACGTGATTTTCTTTGTACAAGTTGCGGAGCCTGTTCGACGTGCTCCTCTGAGGGTGACAGATTTCCATGATTAATTGACAGCAGCACGTTTAAGGCACTAGTAGTGGATGCTTGTGTTATCATATCACTGTGATTATTCCGCTGTTGCCTGTTCTTTCTCTTGCAGAGTAATAAAGTTTACCAGCGGTGTCGCGATCTGTGAGGGTTCCATTAGAGATTTTTGCTTACAGTCTCTGATTTTGAGGGGTAATTGAAAACTTGGATGCTCAGAATGTTTGTGCAGTCTACACAGAAACGGAGTGGATCATCTGCGCTTAACCAAGACTAGTTTAGAGCGTTATCTCATAAATAGGCATCGTATCTACTGACATACATTGCCGTCGTAGGTTTTGTAGAAATCTGTTCTTATATTTTCATGCTCTCCAACCCGCAATTGGCTTCTACAACGATGAAAGTCTCATGGATCTAGTAGGGTTTTCTTGCTGAGTAGCAGAAGTTATGTCTTGAGGGTCGGCCGTGTGTAGTAAATGGCGCTAATTGTATCCCATGACTCGGCATGGTTAAGAACAAGGTCATGCTTGTAATGAACACGAATCATATCTAGTAGAAATTCAATTGAAGCTTCTGTGGAACAGGTTGTTTCAAAAAGGTGGTTGGTACAGCGATGGCGATGCGATTGGAGCTTTTGCAGCATCACACATCATATGATGCTAGTCCCTCTGCAGCTCGCCCCCGCTCCGCAACTTTTCATAGAGGGAACCCAGCGTCATTTTGCTGGCGACCACTTCGGTTTGTTCCTCGTCTTCTCACACAATAATTTTGTTCTTAGTAATTTTCATTACGCAACCGTCAAGCTGGGTGAAAAGAAGATAGGAGAGATCTGTGGCTGAAGCTAGTGATATTGAGTTGCAATGGTTGGTTTAAGATGAAAGTCTGAATGTGCATACATGACCTTCATCATTGGGTTGTACTATATTTGTCTCGCAGTTCAAGCTCAAGTTTCTTCAGTTCTTACATAGCTATGCCTACTTTTGTATGTTCCGTCACCGAATTTCTCTTCATACGTGCCTCGTGGTTATCTTGCCCAGGAACTTAATTCAGCATAACATTAAAGCCTCGAACACCCTGCTGCTCAATTCCCAGGTTTTGCTTAGTCTTCAGTCCATGATAAAATATATATATGCGCATGGAGTTGTTGAGGGTTGAAAGATGAGGGGCTTTATTGAATGATTGTTCTTTTCTTTACTTGTTATCATTAAGTACTTCCCCTCTATTTTATTGACTAGTGTTCTCACGCGGACGAAGTACACGAGGATGTACAGCTGATTCTTCTTTTCACTTCGCATATATGTAAACAGATCTGTCATTTCCTGGATGCAAATCCGCTATTCATGCTTCGCCCTCTCGATAGACCTAGTTGTGTCAACATAAAGCCTTCAGGTGTTGCTCATGCTTCTGCACGCAAAGGAGGCAATGGCGGGGACTACGACGATCGGAGCGACTACAAGCAGCCATCTCCCAAGGAGGAATCCGGCAATTTAATGTCATTTACAGTTATCCTCATTAAAAAAGTTGTCAAGCTAGCAGGTGTTCTGCTTGTCCTCGCAACAATATTTGCTGCTGCCGCTCCTTCCATGTTTTCATCGCCTAGAGGTCTCAAGACAATCATGTCTATGGCCAGTCACACTATTCCAGGTGAGTATCTTCAAGACGCTGGACATAGACTCTTTTTGTTCCTAGAAAACTTTATTTGAGCACCTTGATGATTTTATGTCGAATACAGATTAGTTACTGTGAATTGTTTCTCAAGCTCTTTATCCTCCACCTGTTTATTCCATCCTCTAGTTACAACATCTCGAATGAACTTGTAAGTTCTTTCTTAATGCATGATTCCGTATTTTTTTCTCAACTTATGATATGATCCCCATAGAGAATTGGTGTTTATTATTATCCTAGCTGAAACCAAGCATGCTTATGCATGCGTCCGGAACACATAGCGCTCGCTGCAATATCTGCACTTCTTAAGCGCCAAAGTGGATTCACTTTTCTGACTGTAGTGCATGACTTCGGCAAACAGGCACTGTATCGGTTGCACGTGCATCCCTAGGCTGGAGGAAACCACTTTATCTGGAAGGGGTCACATTGAAAGGCATTGACGGTGAAACGGTGCTATATATCCCGAAAATCGAAACTCGAGCGTCGCTCTGGTCGATTGTCAGTGGCAAAGCTGGCTTTGGTGCGAACCTCCTCTCTTGCATCCTTTATTCGTTATCGTTGATAAGAAATCAAAAAATTATTTCTGTAGCTCACTTGAACTTGAATATCGTACTATCGTTTCTCCTTGCCCAGTGGATTCTCCTGCCTCAAAACAAATCACCTGTTTTGGCCAAGAATCTATCAAAACTTCCTGTGTTTTCTTCAAGGGTGTAGCACTTTTACAGCCTGCTTTGATTTTTCCTTTTAAAAATTCTTTTAATGTCTTCATTATGTGGATGAGTCACGAGATTTCTGACTGTTTATCAAGTACAGAGTGCGTGCACGCGGGCAACCATGTACGCTAAGGGGCTTATCTGTCCAATGTAAACTGGAATGTAGGTCTATCCGTATGGCTAGTATAATTATCTCAAACCCTGATTGATAAGCATGGGTTATCCAACATGCTCACTGACTGATCAATTATTACTTAAACAATGAAGGACATGATGGTGATTTGTTCAGGCGATTCCACTGTAACGGCACCCGTGGTGGATCTTCAACAAGACCCAGCAAGTGGACAACCTTACCTGGCCCTCGCACTTACCCCACTAGCGAAACTTCAAGAAAACAAACCAAATCTGAACAATAGCAAAAAGCGATCAGTGGCCATTGAGCCCCCAAGGGACGTCGCTCTGGCAGCTAGTGTTAAAGCTCCAAATGGAGGTATGGAGATTGTTAAAGGAAAGGTCATTCTCCCTCAAGATGCTGCGACTGCCATTGGTCCAAGTATTTTTCTTGACGTAGCTGCTGGTCGGTTCGCAACTGAGGCCGATGATGCTTTGGAATCGGCGGCTCACGAATATCGGGGCAAATTACCAATTCGTGGGAATATTTACTCAGATCGAGCGCAAGCCGAAGGATTGGGTTTTTTAAGCTTGCCTCAAGGCCAGATTCACCTTCTAAGACCACTTAAAGCTGAGGTGAGAAAGCGTACCTCTAATTGTACTGGTCATACAGTTTACAAGTCTCTTCAAGCTTCTGGAACAGATGTTTGAGCGTAGATAGTCACAGAACAGTTGGCTAGTTTTTGAAGGAAATATCGCTTGAAGGACTAGATATAGATCTTTGCTTTAGATGCAGAAAATACATACTGCTGTTCATGAATGCACTAATTTCGTAGTATTAAACGTTTGCAGTTGGATTTGACACCTGAATTCGGAAAACTCTATTTGGTGCGCGTGAATCCTCTACTAGGGGAAATTATCGGACCGGCAATTAGTGAGGACGACTTGCCAGACATTACCATTTACGCAGCTCCGAAAGACTTTCTTTTGCCCTCGGACGAGTATTCTGTTCGCATTGAACCCATGAGGACGGTACTGTCCTCACGAATACTCACGGATGACAGTGATAATTTTATTGTCGGATTCATAGAAAGGTTTGTCTGATGTTTATGGACAATATCCAAACTTGCTATCATGCGTATGCAACCGGCATAATGGTGGAAACGTTAAGCACTAATTTTACTCTATGTGATTGCAGTTAGATTGCTTCGGTTTCTCTGTTTACCTCTACATCAACCTCTCCTTTTGTTGTGCAGACGCTTGCAAAGGGGCAGTTAGTGGATGGAGTCCTGACTCTTCTTAGGCGCCAAGATCTTCTTAAGGGTCGCTCGCAAATTACGGCTCTGACATCACCTATAGAGGCCTCCATCAACCTCAAAACGGGTGTCATAGCATGTGATCGTATAGACCTTCTTCTTGCAGGTACCGTGAAGGTTATGTTTTACTCTGTGTTCCTGCACACGCGATTTATGGTTTGATTTTAAGAGATGTTCGTGTTTTTTGGTGACTTTTTTTGTAGACCGCGTGCATGTTGCAACTTGGGGCATCATGGACATTCACCATGAGACAGTTCAAATGACACTTGCCATTCCTGGGAGTACTTTACGGGAAACTCTAGGGTTATCTCGCCTTGCCCACGATTACTATCTCAAGGTACGTTCATGAACCCGATATCAAGTCAATTGTCGACTTTTAGCCTAAGTTTGGTGATATAATGAAATTTCGGATATATTGTGATAGATTCCGCATATACAACACAATTTGAGTTGCAGAATGATGGGTGCTTGATGAAACTGCAGATTCCAATACGAGGTTCAATGGAGCGACCACAAGTAGATTTTATGGCGGCAGGAAAGGGCATTGCACAATTGACGCTGCAGCAACAGTCAGGTTCGGCTGGTCAGCTTTTCTCCTCGTTTTTTCAGCAGTCAGACAAGGAGGCCAGCGCAAGCGAGGTTCCCAAACCCATTGATGTCCTTCCATGGGACACTCGCAGCTAAGGACACTCGCTTCTACTTTTGTTTGCTTCCAACTGTACATTATTAATCTGAGTGAGAGAGGAAGAGGGAGAGAGAGAGAGAGACGCTCACACGTCTGTTTTAATCTTACGTGAAACCTGGAATTGAATTATGCTGGAAGTGACGGTTGTAGATTGCCCTCTCGAGGGCACGCGTGTTGACACATCAGCCGGGTGGTTGTAAATCTCTTCAGAATTTGAGAGAGGTGATGCTTCTGTCAAATATGTTGTCCTGATTGAAGTGCATGTGAGAACTGGTTTGGAGATCAGTGGTGCTCCCTGGTATGTGAACTTTATTGTACATGATGCTTTCTTTCATGTTTTCAGTTATTCGTTAGTGGTGATTATTATAGTGAGAGTGCACCATGTCTTGCAGCACAAGCCAAGAACAAAATCTCATTTCAGGCTATTGGTCTATCAGTGATGCTAGCGGTTATGGAGGGATTGTGGAATAATACAACGATGCACCAAAAATAATTTCGATTAAAAAGGAAAAGATGTTGAGCTCTCTGGTTGCCATATCAAAATTGCATTTTAAGGGGAAAACTAAACAAGTTTTCTTTGCAAAATTATTGCTAGATGCTTTTATGATATAATTATTCCAAATTATTGCATTTTTTATATGGAAAATCCTTTAATGATTTGTGTAAAGATTGACTTGTAAATTTCTTTTCAATATTTTTTGACTGAAGAAAACTTCACAATCATTTGAGATAACATAATAAGTTGGTAATAGCAAATGATTCATCAATTTCTTGAATAAATCATATGCTGATTTGCTTAAGGTTCCTTTGATTTTTTCACTAGCATCTATATTATCAAATAACTATTTTATTATTTATAATCTAATTATTTAAATTTCAACCTTAATTTTTTTTAATTCTTATCTTTGGATATATATATATATATATAAGTTGCTCACTCTAAAATATACTTGATATGAATTTTATTCATGTTTATCGTAAAATAACATATAAGACAATAAATAATATGTTGATTTAATTATTCTATTGGCCTAAGTGAAAAACAAATATTAAAAAATTATTACCAAAAATATATTCTTGTGTTTTAAAAAATATATATATTAAAAGATTCCTAGTATGTAACATTCAAGGTGAATTAATTTTTATTTTTTAATTTAGAAAGATGTTGAATACATGATGAATCTTAACTAACCATGGTAATTGTAGTGAAAAATAAACTAAAATAAGTTTTTTTAAGATGATTTTAGGCCAAATTTTTGATAATTCAACTTGTCATAAGATTGGTTAGTTTTGATATTAGAATAGAATAATCATATTTTATTACCAACTTTGAATGAAGGTTATTCTTTTCTGTAATATTTGCATTATTTTATATTTTGTTCTTTAGCTTCTTTTACATATACCCTCATTGATTTGCAAAGCTCAACTATTCTACTTTTCAAATCCTCTAATCTTGAAGTTTTATCTTGTGAAAAATTAAAAGTACCAAATTATGGATAATAACCATAATTTACAAAAGAATGTAGTTTGTTGAATACATGAATGTATCACATGAAATTTCTACTAATAGCAAGGAAATTTTCTAATTACCTCAGTGTTTTTTAATAGTGTAATGATAATATCATTCAATTCTTTATTTGTACATTTTGTTTGTTCATCAATTTAAGGATGCAAAACTAAAGATGTCTTAATATCAATCTTTAATATTTTAAAATATATATATATATATATATCTCTTTTAAAACATTAATAAAAATTGGAGTCATTGATTAAATATAGTATTACTTCAAAATCCATGATATTGATAGATGTTACTATTGAAGAAAAATTTGGTTGTTTCTCCATCCATAATAATTTTTTCATAAGATATAAAATGCACCACTTTATTTAGTCAGTCTACCATCACAAAAATAAAGTCATAAGAATTTTATATTAGAATATTTGTAATAAAATTCATTGCAAACGATGACCAAGATTGCTTTAAAATAGATAGAGATTGAAAATAATCATAGAATCAATGACATAGACTCTTTACTCTAAATTAAGTATTATATAATCAAAAAACATTTTGTGTCATCTTTTCTCATTTGAAACCATCAAAATTATCGTAATAAAATTCAATCATAAGCATAAGTCTTAATAAAACTCAAAAATAAAATAAACTCATACAATATTAAAGAATGAAGAAAATTAATAAGAAAAAAAATATATAAATATAAGATAAAAAATAACTACAATGGTTATTGTTAAGTTCAAAGAAGTTGGAGAGTCTTAAAAGCTTTTTAATAAGAGTAAGGATAATCTCACTTTTGTCTTGACATATATTAGCTATTGAGAAGTCTTTATAGTGGTTTCATAAAAATCAAAAGGTTTTTGAGACAAGTAGCCAACATACAAGACAAGTAAATAATATATATAATAATATATAAAATAATATTTACTAGACAAGTAATAATAATTATTTTATTACTAGATAAGCAAATAATACATAATAATAACTACTACTACATTAATAGTTTTACATATATATTTACAACCTGCAATTTTTTTTTTAAATTATTAGAACTAATATTATGTATGTGTATATACCCATATATAAATAAGTATGCATATGAATATTGATATAATATACTTTTTGAGAATATTTGAAGTAAGGTTATGTTTAAAAAAGTGAAATAGATTTGCAAATTTAATTCAAATGATGATTAAAGTAGTACTATTCCAACAAAGTTCAATTGCACGAGAAGCTTGAAGCACGTCTAAAAGATAATGAAGTGATGACATCAGCAGAAACATATCAAGCCAAGTAGAGCTAGAATGCATCTGGTTATCCCTAAACCAATAAAGTAGCTAATTACGACTTACAATTACTAGAGCATGTTGCATTCAGATCAGTTTTTTTCTCACTCCCCCAACCTGTACCAAAAGAAATTTATTATTCTGAATCGGGTAAGATTCGTGAAGGTCAAGGATCATGAGGCTTGCTTTCATTCTGAGAAGATAGTCTTGAATATCTTCAATTTCTCTATAGCTAAAGAGTTGCCGCAGGTCATTAACTAGTTATATTGAAGGTATACAAAGTCGCACAGCTTACTTAAACCTTTGTTCCGACAATGCATAGTTGAACCCTGACACGACCATATTGTTCTAATTCTGATAGTCACAAAGATCACCAGAGATTTCAGGAAATCCGACAAATTCTTTGTTGTTCAAACCACGTTTGTGTTGTGGACTGAAGAAATTTCACCTGTGCTGCGGATTACCGGATTTATTTGATCAAACGCATTTAATATTCAAATCAGGAAAGATAATAAAGTAATAAATAAATGATAAAATTAAAAATTCAGTTTCTTGAGAGAAGCCACCAGAGTAACGAATAAGCTCTGCCTTCTAAACATCGCCTTCTAATTTTGGACTCCCGTGATCGTGAGGGCTGATGAAGCAGTGAGAGTCTGGGCGCTGCGGAAGACGCAGCTACAACGCATATAGCTCGGCAATGCTGCCTTGGAGCGACTCTTACAGCAATAAACTTGACTGTCTGCAGAAGAGTGGAATTGAATTCGTTCACTAGCTCAAATCGATTGTTAGCTCCAATTTCATGCCCAATTTACTTCAAGGTTGTATGCACAACATCTAGCCTACTTGCTTGATAAATCCAACCAAGCGTAAATAATTTGCCAAAAAGACTCGAATTTTGTACAAGCGCTTGGAATGAGTATTCCTTGCTAGCGCCAATAAATTCCATCAATTTCCGTATGAACAAGACGCAATTTCAGTTGGAAACCCTCGCATGCTCTTTCACCAATCACTGATTTCAAAAGTTGGGCACCCTGGATACAACCGTGAACCTAGGCAGGCACGCTGGGAATCATGTCTCTTTGGAAAAGCTCGTATTGTACCAACTTCACAACTTCTGCAACCTGCATAATGTCATTTCACAAGTCGACCTTCAGTACTTACAGCGTTTCGACCAGATATTTGTAGAAATGATAGGTGACTACCTTACCTACACAGTAGAGAGTGAGAGAGTGTGAATCTTACCCCAGGGTAGTGGAGAAGGACAGGCGCGTACTGATTCATCACAATGTGCACCTTCTCGAGCAATGCTACAAGCGAATCAACTTCATCCCCAAGAACGTCCACCTGGACACCAAGATGTAACGATCCCAACAAAACTTTAGCTCTGGAAAAAGCCAGCAGTTGAGGCTAACGAACAGCTTACAAAAAATAAAATAAAATAAAATAAAATAAAAGAAGAGGCATAGTTCTGTTTAAGAACACTATGATTATCCGTGAACGACCAGATTGTTCAAAACAAGTAGAGAAAAGTTAAGGCGAATCAAATTACACGCAACCAGACCCTACACGAACACCGCTGCTTCTATCAACTTCTTTCTAACCTCTTGTTCTGCTCTCTGAAGATTTTCGACAGTGCGCAAATAATCCATCTCGCTCATCTGTGACTGCCGCAACAATTGTAGCAGATTATCAACCTGTTGTTGAACTGCTTCAAACCTGGCCATCGGTACAACACAAAAGATTGAGCATTAGCTATGAGTGGGAAGGACCAGTAACTTTTACGTGGCCCACTGATTGGCATCGGCTGCTTACACTACCTTAAATCGCTCGCAACTCTTGGAAACAATACATTGCTAGCCTAAAACACCTACGGCCAGGTCTCACCTCAATGTCTGTTGATGTATTTTCCGACAAAGTCCAAATTCCACCTGCTGCGATGTTCCAACAGCACGGCTAATATGTTCCGCAATGGTTCTCTCTAAGAGCCTCCATACGTCTTTAGATTCTTGTTGCATTGTGTAAATCTCAGCTTTCATCCTCTGAGCATCGCTCTCGGCGCTTCCTGATTAGTAGTTCAGAAACATGAATACTCCTATTAGATTGGAAAACCTACAAATAACTTCAATATAGATGGAGGCAGTGAAAAATCGAAATATACTTCACACAAAATGTAGATGAAGTTGAAGACTGCACGCAAGTATAAATAAGGGCACCCAATTAAATTTCTTTCATGATGAATTTAACTTACTCTCTGAAGATACTCACAACTTAATAATCCAGTAATAAGCCATCGCACCTATCATTCATAACCTACCTTTTTGAGCCCTTTCTTCCTTCACTTGCTTTTGAGTGCGACTTAATGCTCTCTCCATGTCTTTCAAGGCCATCATGTATGCAGACCTCCATCGCTCCCTCTCATTCTGATTAGAAACTTTCAAGTTTCTACACGCTATCGCCAACAAAGCGATCGCAGTCGCTAGATGATTTCGTTCAGCCTTCCGTTCAGCAAGCTCGTTCTCTAGCTTAGTTTGCTCATTTTTGTGGCTAGATACAATCAACTTTAATTGATCCCGCTCAAATGCATGACCTGCAACTGTATCCTCTAGCCTGCTTTGTTCTGTGGCAAGTTTTTTCTCTAATCCAGGAACTCTTTCCTCAAGCCAACTTCGTTCTCCTTCAAGCTTCGTTACCTTGTCTTGTAACTCAGATATTTGAATTTCCATGTTTAAAACTCTATCACAAAGCTCATCTCGTTCTGTCACCAGTGTCACCACATCTGATTCAAGTTGTGTAAGTAACGTGTCATTTATGCAGCCCTTCGTATCACAAATCTCCTTTGGAGTACTTAACATAAGGTCTTCCGGTGAGACGGTGCTGCCGTCCTCAGCATTAGGTTTTAGTTCTTTGTTCTCTTGCGATCCTTGTTCTAGTTTCTGCTTAACTGCCACCAACTTTGCTTCCAAAGCCGCAATTTCTTTCTGGAATATCCGTTCGAGTTCATTATTTCTTCTTTCTTCGTCAGCTTTCATCATTGCTTCATGATCCAATCTTTTGTGAAGTTTTGCTAAATCACTTTCACGTTTCTGCTCAAGCTCAAACTTTATTCTTTCTAATTCCCTCTTGTATTTCAATTCTAAAGTTTCTTGCAGGTCTGCAATTTCCTTCCGGTGTTTGTGTTCCACATCAAACTTGATCCCCTCAATTCTATTCCTGTGTTCAAGTTCCATTTTTCCTCGTAGTTCTGCAATTTCGTTTTCATATCTTTGTACAAGATCTACCTCCATCGCCTCGGTTTGACTCCTATGCTCAGACTCCAATTTGTCATGTAAATCTGCGAACTTAATTTGGAATGTCTGTTTTAGTTCTTCCTGGATCTGCTCAGCATCCTTCTTATGTTGAGACTCTAGTTTGTCATGCAGCCTAGCAACCTCAATCTGAAATTCCCGCTCAAGCTCAACCTTCATCCTCTCACGTTCCATATTAAACTCAAACTCTAATTTATTCAGTTCATCCGAATGATGCTCTATAAGTTGTTCCTTTTCTCTCCGCAAATCCAAAACTTCCATTTTGAGGGAGGATACAACCTGCATAAGTGTCCAACATCGCATTATTGGAGAGATTTCACGATAAATAAAAAAATAAGCAAAAAAAAATAATCCCTGACATGCCAGAGTTACTATGCTATGGCATGGAGAGGCCCAGTTCAGAACACGAGATATGACACAAAGTACACTGTGTTAATAACACCAAATCCATCAAATCTCGTGGAAGCACCTCCTTGTTGGTTCTTTTAGACGGCGATTCCCCAATATCCACCATAAACCCCTCCACGGCAGCCTGAGTGTTTCGTCGCACAACCACATATATTGGATCAGTTGCCTTTCCAGGGCTAGATACTGATTGATCGCTTAATGTCGACAAACCCTTCAATGGGGAGGGCTTCCTCAAGGCAGATTTCAAACCCTCCAGATCTCCTTGTGCAAGTGGAGATGAATCTTCAAAGGCCTGATTTTCTTTCTGAGTTCGACCAGAAAAGCTGCAAGAAGCCTGCAGCTCTTTCCTCCGCACGATCTGTTCCAAGAAGTCACACCCGTCTTCACCACATTAGATTTTGGACATGATTAGTTCTTCACGGCATATTCTTTAGACAACCAGATTTAAAAATAACAAGACGGAAGAAACTCTTAAAATGTTCTAACACAGACAGCAGCTCTAATATAGGTAATGGGATAAAGGTTTAAAATACCAAGGGATAACCTCTATGAAACCTTTTGCAGTTGAGAAGACTATAAAACACATCACAATTATGAATGAAACATTACAATTTCTAAAATTCTCTGCATACTTCAGGAATCGACATTGAAGGGTCGACATTGAGGAGTCGACAATAGACATTCAGAAATTCACACCATCGTACTCTACATGTGACCTAAAACATGAGATGGTATTCACTTGTAGCGACTACTGCAATCATCATAGACTTCATAAATACCAAGCTGCCAAGTTTTGATTTCATGCCAGGAAACGAACGCACGCTTCATTCTATAAATAATTCGTGGTAAGCGGAGAGGTGCAAGGGCTTTAAAGATGTGTGGCCGATCCACAATTTTCTTGCCTGCTTTCTGTTAAAGTCAGCTGATAAAGAATCGATTAACTGTCTCCACTCGCAAGCTCTCTCACCAACAACTTCAAGATAGATTGATGACTCCATCTCGTGTTCCCATATAGTCAACTCAAGTTCCTCTGTTAACCTTTTTATTTCCAAATCCTTTTGCTCCAGTGTCCCCTCTAGTGCTCCCTACCAAGTAAAACTACCACATTAACATTTCAAACAGTAGACGGTTGTCCCGCATTAGATCTACCTTGTTGCATACACAATCCAAGAGAATCATTTTGCTACTGTGCATTCTTGGTGCCGACACATGAAAAGATCTGGAAAACATCTCATTTCTGCATTTTGCAACGACGAGTACGACATTTTCGAGATTCAGAAAAGTTGCGCACCTCGTAGCTCTTCAACTCTGACATCGCTTTATTGACTTCCAGCGACCATTCTTGTACGACTGCATCAACAACGTCAAGGCAGATTGAAGAATCTACCTTCTGCTCAACCAGAGTCTTTCCAAGCTCCTTCATTGACTTCTCTAATTCTGCATACACCGCCTTGAGCTTCATTAAGGACGCGCCCTGCATTTCCAGCATAAAAATTTGTAAGTTCAGATACCTGATGCCACTGAACTATTTCCTCACTTCTAAAAATAGACAGTAACCAGTGACAACGAATATTTTCCAACTATCAAATCTCTGCAGTGAGGAAATAAACGTTACACAAAAGGGTTTCTCATACAGTAGATCAGGTTCAACTCTCTGCAAGATATCTCATGTAAATGTACAAAATTGAAAATCCGAAGTTCCTGGTTTGTAGAACTCATTTTATAGACAATATATCCATCATCTTATACAGGAAGACTGTCGTTGAAAAGATTTCGTTTCGCTAACCTTAAACATCACACTGAGATTAATACTTAAATAGCGACATACTCCGGTTTTACAGTCGACCTCATAAGGTTTAATATTTCCCAATTTCCTGTCCAAGACTTCAATGTACGAGTTTCACTCCGATTGAGAACGTACGAGTTACAATCGTACATGATCAGCACGCAAAGCAAGGAACTGATATGCAGTGCATACCTCGTTGCTAAGATCAGCTCTCAAATGTAGGAGTTCTTCTGACAACTTGCGTGCTGTGTCGTCAAACACCGTAAAATAAATCGATAGTTCTGTCTTGCTTCTCCACGTTGAGTCTTCTATTTCTTCAAGCCTTCTATGTAACTCTTCGATCTCTGTCTTGAGCATTCCTTTCTGTACTTGCTGTATTTGACACCAATTATCAAGAAGTACAATCAAAACAAGAGATTCAACATATTTTTTAAAACGAGAAGCATCTTTCAGCTTTTTAATGTCTGGATAGAGCACACAAGAAATATAAAGACGTGAATCTCGCAATTGTGTATGCAGAGGTATGTATAGAAGCATAAGTAGAATGCATAGGCAGCTTACTACTTTGCAGAGTTTCTCTTTCATATCGTTACTTTCTTGCGAATACGCCACAGCTGTTTCGTACAAAACCTCGAGATAAACGATACATTCAGCCGCATGTTCCCATTCTTTTTCCCTAAGGTTTTGCACCATCGCCTTCACGTTTGTATCCTGCTGTTCTTGCAAATACGACAGAGATGTTTCACTCAAAACCTCCAAATAAATTGAAGATTCGACTGCATGCTCCCATTCGGCTTGTTCTAGACTGTCTAACACCGTCTTCGCATTTGCAGCTTGCTTATTCAACTCGATGTTTAGTTCGACGTTTACAATAGGAACGGAATACAACAAGAATAAGTAATAGGTCTTCCAAGCTACAGGCCAGGATTATCTGCATGAGGCAATATCTGCAATTATATCTCATGTTTCAATGAAATGCTCACCTCTTTGCTAAGTCTATTTTCCAAATAATTAATGTGTTGAGAACTCGATACTGCCATTCCATTCAAGACCTCCAAGTAAATTGAAGACTGTACAGAATGCTCCCATTCGGTTCCTACAAGTTTTTCCATTATCCTCTTCACATTGGCACCTTGTTTTTCCAACTCCCCTCTTACTTCGACCTTCACAATGCGAATTCAACACAACCATGAAAGAATAATCAATACTGTAGCACCCATAGTGCCGAGACCCTTTTACATGAGACAGTAATTACATTTACAAGCCCAGCGACTATATCGGCAAATCAAAACACATGACCAAAATCCACTTTGTGCACAATTAAAAGTCTAGTTTGAAGTTGCACGACGAAATCCGAAAGAGCTTTACCTGCATGGTTGTAATCGTATTTGACCACTCTTCTGACATAGCATCAACAACCTCAAAATAGACTAACGATTCGGCTGCATTATCCCACGTCACCGTTTCCAGTTCCTTCGATAATTTTTTCACTTCTGCAACCTCCTTCTCCAGCCGGCTTTCTAGTTCTCTCTGATGAGAGAAAAAAAATAAAACAAAACACCAATACACAAAATATGAAATTGAACTAAAAAACTATCTGTTGATAGAAGGAGGTTGCAGCCCTAAACCTCATTCTAGATTAAAACAAAATGCATAGTCCTGTACATTAAATCTGCAGTACGCAACCAAGAACATCACTCGGGCATGTTTCGCAAGCATTTTGCCGCCTAGTAACTGACGATACCAAGAAAAATCTGGTCACAGCTGATCGCCAGCACATTAACCTCCAGAAGAGACTTACTCTCAGCGTGAATGTCTGTTCATAAAGCTCTTGAAATTCAGTCTTCGACACTGCAGATTGCATTGATGCATTTTTCAATGCATCCCTGCAATCTAGAATGTCAGATTGGCAGCTTTCGACTTCTTCGGTGAGTTGGTCAACGAATGTTGACAGAATGGTGTTCTCCGTTCTCAGTTTCTCCACCTGGCACCTGCTTTCCTCTAAGGAAAGCTTCGTCATTCGTAAATCTTCCTGATTTGAGTGAAGCTGATCTTTCACATCTGCTAAATCCGTGACCCAAGCTGTAACCTGGTTCATCAAAAATTCTAGCAAAATCTTGAAATAGGAAAAGATCAATCCCACGTCCACTCCCGCTCTCCAATTTTCCTCATCCAGTTTTCCTCTAAATTCTAGCAGGTAACTCAACTTGCGCTGTAATTTGTGATATGCACCGTCATCTACAGCATGCTCGACAGTGAAGGACCTGTTAAAGTCCAACATAAAGGGATGATTAAATATTGCACAAAATTTAAATGATCATAACATTCTAAAGACACTCATAAGACATAAGTAGCTTAAGTTCCTAATTTCACAAGTAATGAAAAGAAGCGACTCATATGGTACCTTTCTCGAGAGGACAAACTTGTGCGATGCCCATCCTCTTGCTGGATGTCAGATGTCGATTCCGAATTCAAACTCAAATCTGGAGTCGACGACGCCACACGTTTACTTTGCCAAGCATCATGCATGATTTTATCTTCCAGCTTCCCAAGTTCCAAATCTACTAGAAACTGACAGAGAGTCATACAGTCCATGGCATCCGCTGAACCCTCACTAAGATTGGATTCTACTAATGTATTGCATGCGATAACATTCCCATATTTGTTATATTTACAACTACTACCAGTTTCACTTCCAGCTCCTCTAACCTCTTGCTGCCATACTGAGAAGGTTTTATAAAGCTGGTTTGCCATCTCGACGGCTCTTTCCTGCTCCTGCAGCTTCCGTCCTCTAACCTCAGCTTCAATCCGTTCGATCTCTGCCTGCTCAATCACAACATAGTTGCTGTAATCCTTCGTCGAATGGTCAACTTGAGTGTCTAGTGAGGAGCTTTCAATCTCTATGTCGTATTCCTGAGATAACGAACAAATCAGTCATTCCATGGCAGAAGTCATTACATTCACCTAAAAATCTATTCCAGTCTAAACGACTCCAGTTGCCGTATTCTCACCCGATTATGATCGAGACCAGCCCATGGAAGAACAGTTGATAATCTGTAAACATTAGCAATATGCTATTTGATCGATGTCAGGCAGCACCCGCTAGCTTACAAAGCTAATTCCACTCTTATGCGGAAACCCTAAACCCAAGGCCGTATTGAAAAACATCAAATTTTTCAGCATAACAGCAGGGGTCCGTAAATTACAAGCCTACCCGTTGCAAGTAATATACCAAAACATGACCACTTACAGGAATCCTCTACTCAGCAAACCTAAAGCTCTATTTTATCAGCAATAATAGATGCAGAACGCAATGGTGATTTTGACTTCTAAACCTGGCTTGCTATTATACAGATGATATCATACCAAAGGCGAAAAAGACAGTTCCCAATTTTCTTCGACTATGGTGATAATTGAAAATTCTGGATAGGTCGTTAGTAAAATGGATGAGAAGTTATACACTGGTTGGGCGTAGAAATGACTCGTCCGACGATTCGATTTTGCTATCGGTGTGACTGGCTTCCTCGAGTAGGTCTGTGATAGTATGCAACTGTCTCTTCAGGGCGGCAGCGCCAATGACAGAATGAAGGATGTTCTGGCAGTCGACACCCGCAGGGTCGGCGCCATCCTCGTATTTGTTGAGAAAGCGATGGAGGCGAACAAGAAGCGAGGTGGAGCAGGGATGGCGGGGGTGGAGCGATGAAGAGGAACAGGGTGGTTCCATCATGGAGGGGGCGGGGGGATTGAGAGGATTCAAAGGGAAGCAGCGGCGTTGCAACAACCACAATGCAACCGAGGAGGAGAAGGGGGAGGAAGAGGTGGGGGCGAGCATGAGTTGCGGAAGAAGAGCAATAAGATGACGGGGAAATACGAACTAGTGCGGAACAAGATAGGATGGGAAAGTTTGAAAGGGGGATCATGAAACTCTGCTATCCGTATTGCCCGAAGAGCTCTCCATTCCGAAGACCATGGCATACCAGGGACGGAAAGTTTCCAAATACGACGCACAGTACCTCACACACCAGCAATTCTGGAATATGTGTGTATGTACAGCCGTGACAACTGTCATGTCCTTCAATGGTTGCCATTTCCGGAGAGCCCAGTACTTCTGGGGACCAACACAGTGGCATATATTCTCATGGAGGCAGGCAGGCAAGCAAGCAGGGCGAAACTACACTCCACACACTCCAACCTTGCTCTTCATCCCAACTCGCTCCTCCACAAAGCACTTTAAAGTTTACACACTGCCTGAATGCATTTGGATGTGAGCCAAGTATTAATTATTGACAATGTGACTAGCTAACATCAATTGAATGTGTTTGAAAAGAACTATGCTGAAATGATCATCACAATCAAACCTTTTAAGAGGTGCATAGTATTTTGGCTCACACTGTGTATTGTAGAATGGCAACTGTCACAACAGAATTGATGACATTTGACATTCACATCCAATTGATGTTAGCCAGTCACATTGTCAATAATAAATACTTGGCTTACATCCAAATGATTTTAACTACTCACATTATTAGGTCACTCATGGAGCCAAGCCACTACAAATCTTGAACACACAAATCAAAATAAAGCATTACAAAAAATAAATATAAATATATATATATATATATATATGTATATGCAAAACATAAATTATAAGACTAAAAAATCTAAATCCAGAATTTTTATCTGTAAGTGTTATTGTTCAATTTTAAGTCTTTTTGCAACTTAACAAAATTACCTTATAGTGATTCTCAAATGTCTAATTAGGTGTCTAAATTAAAATTTAAGATTAAAGTTTACAAACTACAATAAAAAAAAGGTTTATTTCTTTTTTAATCAGGTTTTTGGGTTAAAATATTGCATGTATATATATATATATATATATATATATTATTAGGACTCTAAGATTTGAAATACATAGTTGAAGATTTAAGATTTATGTTTAGATTTTAGGTTTTGGAATTTGGGAATTTAGGAATTCAATATAAGACTTGAAGTTTTATATTGAAAATTACAAGTCTATTATTCAAGATTCAAACACCTGTTTAAAAACGTTTTCAGCTTATCTACCATATAATTTTTATAATTACAATTCAAATTATGTAATGACAATCTTCTATAACTTCTAACATCTAAAAATAGAAAATATAAAAATAATTATATAAATTTGATTTTATTATTCCTATAAATAGTAATTTAAATAATTAGTTTGGTATATAAATCTATTTATACTATGGTAGTTAAATAATTGGTTAAAGATAGAATAATTTATATTGTTAAATATTAAAGTCATTAGAATTATAATCTACTTATATTTTGGTAATAAAATTGGCTAATTTAATATTTGAATCTATTTAAACATTGGCTATAATAATAACTAAATTAAAATTTTAAATTATTTATAATAAAAAATTAACCATATTTATGCTATCACAATAAATTTATTAGTACAAAGTATACTTTTTTTACATTGAAGTAAATAAAATACTAATTTAAAATATTTTTTGTTATTTATATTATAAAAAATATATAATAAATTTAAAATTTAATTATATAAATTTTAAAGATGAATTTTTTACTTTATTTTATTCAAATTTTATTTTATTTTATTCAAATTTTATTTTATTTTTTATTTAAAATTTTTAAAGTATAAATAATACTAAAAATTATAATTTAAGGTTTAATATATAATATTTTATAGTTTTTTTTTTTAAAATCATCTATTTATTACAGATGATTTAAAATTAAAGACTTTATCTTATTAACATATAAATATATTATTAAATAATTATTAAATAATTTTTTAATATTGGATTTATTTTTTATTTATAATTATTAGTCTTTTGTGTATTTAGAATTATTTTCTAGATTATAATATAGACATATAAATGTTGTGAGAGACTAAACAAAATGTTAACTTTGGAAAAAAATGGATTCAACAAAATCAAAATTAACAAATACTTATAGCATGATTAATTATACAAAAGTGTAAAAACTACATTCAATTCTAAAAACTTATGTAAACTAAATTCTTTATACACACTGAATGGCCTTTTTTCACATACACAATTCTAATATTGATTTTTTTTTATACATATTAGCTTATTGGTTTTATTTTAAAAATTTTGATAGTTATTTTTAATCTTTTTTTTTTTAAATTTGGATTTAGGTTTTAATTTTTCTTTAATAATTTTAAATTACTCTTACTGGTTGTCTTAATATCAATTAGATTTTATTAAATATTTCTTTAATTGAATTTACTCATATTATTTTATTTTAGTACCTCATTTAATCTATAGTACTAGTCTTAGAACACTCTATCATTTTTTATAATTTAAGATATAGAGCCTTTGACTTGATCTTTTTTTTATTGATTTTTTTTTTACATTGTCCTTCTGAAATTTTAATTTGACACATCTCTTTAGTTTTGAAGTTTTTAACTTTAATGGTATTTTTAAAATTTTCAAGAAACTCATTGTTTAGAAGATATGAGACTTTCAAAATTACAAAGTGATCCTTTTCTTACCGTATGACAAAAAAATAAGATATTATAATAATACTAATTTTTATTTAGACTATTTAAACTATGAAAATAAAATAAGTTGCTTATATAAGTATACATTTACTTTTTTGTTGAAAATGATTATATTTAGACTATTTTTTAAATAAAATATACATATAAACGACTTGAAATAATATAAAGCATGATCTAAGCTTATGCAATGGATTGTATATGGTCACACCAATATATACCATATTTTTCAATAAATCATCAGGTTTATCTAATAAGATATATATATATATATATATATATATATATATATTATTATTATTATTATTTTTAATACCCACCACCATTTTTCTATCACTTATGCTATAAATTATAGAAGAATTTTAGAATAAATTAACAATGTGCCAAAAATAATTTTGATTTAAAAAAAAATCTTGAATTTTGTAGTTATTATATCAAAATTGTATTTTAGGCATAAAACTAAAGAAGTTTTCTATACAAAATTATTGCTTGATTCTTTATGATATAGTTAATCTAAATTCTTATATATTATAAATATAATAGTTTTAATAGTTTTTATAAAGATTGGCTAATCAATTTTTTTTTTAATATTTTTTGCGTTAAGAAAAAATCACAATTAATTATTTTTTTACAAATTAGGTTTAGGAATTAGAATTTAAGATATAGTAACTAAGTTGTAGAATTTAGAATTTAAGATATAGTAACTAAGTTGTAGAAATTAGAAGCTGCAATACTTAGCATTAGTAAGATTGCACACAAAAAAAAATGGAGAATAGATGACTCTCACTTTCAACACTCTTTACTTATAGTTGAAGTTTATATCTATTATAGATGAACTTCATCTATAATTATTTTCATCCTTCTTTGTGTCACGGATATATATCTACTATAATTAATATCTAAGTAATATAAATAGATAGAAATAGGTAAAAGTTGATTAATTTCAAAATATCTTATAAAATAATTTTTTAGAAGCTTCTTAGATACTATTTTGTCTTTACATGTATTTTTAGTTGATTGATAGGTTTGAAACTTAGTCAACAAGCAAACTACATGCCATATATGTTGGTAGCTTGTCGAATAAGCTAACTATGTAGCATCTATATACAGAAATTACCTTGCAAGTTAAGATACATGTCATACAAAGTCAATACATTTTTAGAAGTCATGTAGAATATTACCACATGGATCTTAGATAGATAGTATGTATAGAGACAAAAGTGACATCTTCTTCACTCTTGTCAATTCTTTTCTTGTTTTTAGTCTAGTTTCAAGAGTCTTTAGTTTTCTTATCTTTTGGCAATAGTTATTCAAGTTTCTATTTTAATATACATACTTTTCTATTTTTATTTTTTCATATTTCTTTAACAATGTCTCACTTGTTTATTTGATTTTATGGAGTTCTTATTTTTGATACATTAATAAAAATATACTTATAATATCAAAGCTTTGTCTTTTTTTAATTAAGAGAAGATTACTCTTTTTTCTTCATAAGACTTAAGTTTAATAGGAATTGTGGATTATCCTCTCCTAAACTAATATTATCTTTAATAATTTTTCTTTGTTTTCAAGTCTTTTTTCTTATTTATCTTGAACAATATTAGATATCTTTCTTTTTTTAAGTATTATTATGGTAGAACTTCTTGAAATAAAGAGTGCAATGGTATAAATGCAAGAACAATTGAAGAAGTTAATACTTACAATGTATCAACTCAATTTACTACTACACGAAATAATAAGAATAGAAAGGAAGAAAGATATACAGATGATTGGAGCTACTTCAACATCTACATCAAATCATGTCCCTTTTTTTATGGTAGAATATCCTTCTAATATTATAGAATTAAGGATTATATTGCCTAAAAAGTTTGATGACAAAAGATCCAAGTTTTGAGGATTTATCAATCAAATACAACTTATAATTAAACTTCAACCTCAATTTAGAATCATTGATATACTCCTTTCAAATTTATCATTATTATGATTTTTATCTTTTTTTAAACAATAAGATCTAATATTAGATAATTTGGA